TCCACTGAGGCTGGCCGGATGCTCGTCGGCATACTCGAGGCAGCAGACTTGGCCAAGCCGGTTGAGAAATGGAGATTGAGAGACTGGTTGATCAGCCGTCAACGATACTGGGGAACGCCTATCCCTGTCATCCATTGTGGCTCCTGTGGCCCAGTACCTGTTCCAGATGATCAGCTTCCGGTTACATTGCCCGACGTCAGCCACCACTGGACAGATGGACAGGTTGGTAACCCGTTGGAGAGAGCCGAGGATTGGGTAAACACTAGCTGCCCTAAATGTGGCGGTCATGCGAAGCGCGACACCGACACCATGGACACCTTCGTCGACTCGAGTTGGTACTACGCGCGTTTCGCAGATCCTCATAACACATCGCAGCCTCTCTCTCTTGAGGCAGCAAAGTCACTACCGGTGGACCTGTACATTGGCGGTATTGAGCATGCTATCTTGCATCTCCTATATGCCAGGTTTATCTACAAGTTCTTGGCCACGACAGAACTGTTCCCTGCTTCCGGCGAAACTGACACAGTCCACGAACCGTTCAAGAGACTAATCACGCAGGGCATGGTGCACGGCAAGACGTACACCGATCCCGAGTCGGGGAAGTTCCTGAAGCCAGACGAGGTTGACTTGGAGGACCCTGCCAACCCTAAAGTCGTAGCCACGGGGGCCACGGCAAATGTATCGTTTGAGAAAATGTCCAAGTCCAAGTACAACGGAGTGGACCCGACCGACTTCATATCCAAGTACGGCGCCGATGCGACCCGAGCTCACGTTCTCTTCCAAGCGCCTGTGGGCGACATCCTTAACTGGGATGAGGACAAAATTGCCGGAGTCACGCGTTGGCTACATAGGCTTCATGACCATGCAGCCAAACTTCAGGAGTTATCGGCCGAAGAAAAGCCCATTGTGGCTTACCTTGAAGAGCGCTCAAACAGCTTGTCTTCTCTCAGCGACAAGGAACTGGCTGTCTGGGATGCTGACGCCGCCATCTGGAGAGCGGTTCAAGGAACAATTGGTTCCATTACCCAGTCCTACGAGACTGTTTATCCGATGAACACCATTATTTCGGACCTTATGAGTCTGACCAACACCCTCCAGGAGAACACTGGAGCGAGTCCGCTTGTCCAGAGGGAAGCGATGTCCGTTCTCCTTCGGATGATGGCTCCAGTTGCACCAGCATTCTCCGAGGAGTGCTGGAGTCTCTTGCATCCCGAATCCGGTTCCATCTTTGAGAATACCACGTTCCCTGCGCAAGACAACACGTCGTCCCTGTTGAAGCCGCGTAAGCAGCCAGTGGCTATCCAGATTAACGGAAAGCTGCGCGGTGTTGTAGAAGTTCCCAACCCCCCATCTGGTCTGGAGGGAGAGGCATTGCGCGACTGGATCGTCGCTGAGGTTCTCAAGTCTGATGAGGGCAAGGCCAAGTTTACTGGGGGTCAGTTCGATGTCACTTCCCCAAGGAGAGTCATCTTGGCTCGTGGCGGCAAGACAATCAACTTTGTAGTCTAGAGGTGTAAAAGTATGCGAGATACCCGGTGGTTTGTACAATATAGAAGCCGAAACGAAAAAGAAATCAACGTCACTCGTCAAAACAACTCCATTCATTTGCCAATCTTGTCTGCGATCCTCGATGTTGAGGCTGTCTTGGGTACACGTCAACGTTCGCATTGGAGCATCCGCACTGTTACCTCAAGAAATGGACCGGCGACTCATTAGGCCTACTGAGAATTTCAAAACTTCCCTTTGTGGCTCTTACAACACATTCAATTGTGGTTCATCTAAATTTACGCTCTCAGCTAACTCCTGCTTTATGCTCTCTGTGCGTTGCAATGCCTCAAAGTACGCATCATACTCTTGAAGCTCCACATATGCGCCTTTTATGTCGTGTAAGTGTGTTTCTCTATCGTCTACTCGTTTCGTTTCATGCGATCTTTGTAACAATCAGCTCGCCCTCACCGCCCTCGACTTCTAGAAATGATCCGGTCTCGAGCTTTTTCTTCCACTTCCCACTCTCGTAGCGTCCCAAAATCATAGTCATACGCAGCAGAGCTCCCTCACTGGAAGCATGCTCGGCCCCGCCCTCTGCGATGGGCGTGAAGGTCCACCGACCAAAGGCCCAGTTGAGAATGTACCGAGATTTGGGATGCGGCGGTGTGGGGATCTGAGAGTCCTCGTCAGAGTCCCTTACCGTCGATGAAGCGGTCAGGACAGCCTTGATTCGATACACTTCATCTTTTGGCGCCGCGCGCAAAAGCTTCTGTAGGCTGTCTGCGTTGACCGCGGCGTCCTTGGGGCCCTTGAGCTCGATTGAGAGTACCTCAACCTCTGTCTGGTGGTCGTGCGCGTGGTCCTCCCCCTTGTGGTCGTGGTCGTGTGTGGTGTGCTCCTCCTTGAGGTTCTGCGCGAGACCGCCGTCTACGCCGAATACAAGGTCAGCGCCGACCCAGCCCTTTTTGCTCTTGACCCATGGAATGTCCACCTCGAGGTCGCCCACCCGGTCGAGGACCTCGTCGAAGCGGTCCTCGGAGCACAATTCCCACTTGTTGAAGACGATCAAGTCGGTGTACTTTGCCTGGATGCGCGCCGTGTAGCTTGTATCCTCGTAGCCCTTCCAGTTTTCCGTGTCAATGACGCTGATGACGCCGTCGAGGGTGTAGTTGCCCGTCTCGCGTGCGAGGCGGTTGACCTCAAGAGCCAGCGTCGCAGGAAAAGCCGAGCCGCTCGTCTCGATGACGATGCGGTCCGGGCGTACGGTGGTGTGCAGCTCGGCGAGGGCGACGCTAAGCTGGCCGACGAGGTTGCAGCAGATGCAGCCGTTGAGGAGCTCCTGGACGCCCGATATGGCGCTGGAGGAGGCCAGCTGGGAGTCGACGGCCAGGTCGCCGAATTCGTTCTTGAGGAGGGCGAGCTTGTAGGACGGGTTCGCGGCCTTGAGCTGGGGGAGGAGGTTGAGGATCAGCGTCGTCTTGCCGGAGCCGAGGAAACCGGTGATGATTGTGATGGGAATGGGCGCCATGGTTGGCAAGAGAGAAAAAAAGTCGCAAAGCGCGCGCGCACGAGTGTCGGTGAACTCTATCGAATCGGAAAAAAACTGTGCACGAACGGCTGGGAAAATGACAGCTGTTAAGCTTTTGATACGTAATGTTTGTATTGCCTTACATCAGATCACCACCCAATTTTTTTTGGTTGAGGAAAATGGTGCCGCCGCTCGGAAGCGGGTAGTCGCGTGGTGGTGGGATGGAGGGGTCGCAGACGGGCTGAGCGCCGGTCCAGTCCGATAAGAAGCCCGATAAGGACCGATAAGACACAATCCAGGCTGGAGATTTTAAGGTTATCTTAGCGGGCAGCCAAGGGGACTGCAGTGCCGAGCTAGGCGGTTTGACGTCATTGGCCCCAGTTTGCGGGTGGCTCACACCATCTTTCCTGCATCACATCGACAGCACCCAAGCAAACCAGGCAAGCACGGCAGGCACCAGATCAGCCGTCCTCCCCGAAAATCGAATTGAATCGCACCAATTCTCCAACCCAAACCTGGAGGAAAAGGTCCAGTCTCCGCCCAGACTTATGCGATCATAGCCTAGAGCTGGGACGCGCGGTCACCGTCTGCCCCTCCTCGGCCCAGTCCTCGCTTTGCTGCATTCAGGTCCAGCCAAATCCATCCCAGCGGCCCCATACACCTCAGCCCGTGCAAAACCGAACCGTATGCCACGTTTGGATCCTGGCCTACCTTACCGTATTACTTGAAGTAACCCCCTTCCCCAGCTCCCCCAGCCCTGTCGGGCTATTTTCTCCTTCCATCTCACATTCTAGTCTATCAATGCTTGCTGCTCCGCCACACTCGAGAAACTCAATTTGACCTCACAAGAAACTCAGTACCCTTATTCAACACTATCGCCCTTACTGTCACTATCGTCTCTCTTCTCCGCAGCCCATCTCATCGCATCGACCCACCGTCTCAGCCCTACCACGTTGACGACCACGCCATCATCGCATCCTAACCCCCCTCCCTTCTTATCACCCGACACCAATTACCTTGAGCTGCAGCACAGCCACCCATCATGTCTGCCGAACCCAACAGCAAGTTCGCGCCTGAGCCTCAGATCACGCACAAAGGCCGCGAGTTGAGCTTCAAGCAGAAGCTGGATCAAGCGGCTCACGACGCCCGTAAATCCGAAGAAGAGCCCAAGCAGAATCCCATCGTCGAAAAAGGTTGGTAAATCATTGAACCCCCATCCCGCTTATGCAACCATGTCAAAACACATCATAACTACCTTGCCGTCTCTTCAGTTCCATTAACCTTTTGCAATCTGCACCCGCATAACCCTCACTATTCAGCCCAGCCTTGCTCCGTCCTAGCCACTTCAATCCCCCTTTGATGTTTCCTCCATCCAATTTGTCGAGATACGTGTAGCTCATCAAAGACAATTTCCACAAAAAAAGTGACACAGTACATTCCAGCCGCCGCCAAGATCCTCGGTAACCCGCAGGAAGAAAAAGAGGACAAGATTTCGCGTCCAGGAATTCCGGGACCACCCGAACGGCCGTACGACGACGTCCAGGTGGAGGAATTCATCCGCCAGCAGCACCGTAGCAAGGGAGAAGACGGCATTCTCCAATGAGTTGCGACAAAACACAAGCGCGACCAAAGGAAGAGAAAAACAGCGCCACCAAGAATTTACCTAGCAGAGACCAAAGGAAACAAACACCAAAGAAAGCCTGGATACATAAGTTTTTTGATTGAAATTGGGCGGCGTTTTCTTTGGTATTTCAATTATTTTCGGTTTTTTACGAAGCCTTCACGACGAAACGAAAGCTGGCTTAAGTCTGCACTCGCCTCTTTTGTCCTACCACACTTTTACCCCTCGCAACGTCATCCCATAGCGCGGTTCTGTCAACCGGCTTGGCAATGATCAAAGCGCGGGGAAGTCAACTAGCATCCAACCTCACAGCATCAAAAGAGAGAGAGGAAAGGGGATCATAGCAAAACACCCAAAGGAAAAAACCTGTATTCGTACTTCAATCTAAAAAACAACAAACAACGTTATTGATTCAAAATAATATCGCAACACCTCAGGGCCCTTTGTCCACCTATGTCAACTCCGCTGTGGGCAGCAGTAGCCCACAAATGCCGCCAATTAGTAAAAACAAAATGACAACTTTCTTTCATGTATGAGAGAAATTGAGAAAAACTCCCGGGAATTATAGCCAAAAAGGGGTTTACACAGAAACAAGGATCCAAAAAGAACCGTATTTCCAATTTGAACCCTTTTCTCCTTAACCCCCTTTTTTTCCTTTTTCCCTTCCTCTTTTGATCTTTGGGGACGCGAGCACACGGCGTTTTGTGAATGGGGAGATTGCATGATTGGGAAGAAGAAGACTAGAGAGTAAGTAGTCGTCTTAAGCAAAGATGGTAAGGCCGGCAGCCATTGCGATACCGCAAAGGAGGCCGAGGCTCTTCTTGAGAGACGGTGCCGAGGCGACCTGGACTGTGGACGGCGTGGAGCCGGAAGCACCACCCGTGGCGGTTGAGCCAGAGGCACCGCCGCCGGAGCCGCCAGCGCCAGACTGGCCGGGAGCGCCACCAGCGCCTCCAGCACCTCCAGCACCACCGGAAGAGCCACCGGTGCCAGGAGCACCAGACGCGCCAGGGGCACCAGGAGCGCCAGACTGAGCGGGAGTTCCACCGGGGGCACCACCGGCACCGGGAGCGCCAGACGCACCAGGGGCACCGCCGGCACCAGGAGCTCCGGAAGCGCCAGGAGCACCGCCAGCACCGGGAGCACCGGACTGACCGGGCTGGGCAGGGGAACCACCACCGGGCGCGGCGTTGTTGTAAGAGCCGTAGCTGCCGTAGACGCCGTAGCTTCCGGCGCCCTGGCTGCCGGAGGGAGCAGCGCCGTTGGAGCCACCGCCGTTTCCTCCGGCACCGCCGCCATTGTTGGAGCCACCCCCGTTGTTGGAGCCACCGCCGTTGTTGGAACCACCGCCGTTGTTGGAGCCACCGCCGTTGTTGGAGCCACCGCCGTTGTTGGAGCCACCGCCGTTCTGGCCGCCTCCATTGTTGTTATTGTTGTTGGCACCGCCTCCGTTGCCGGCACCTTGGCCGTTGCCGTTGCTGTAGGAGCCGTAGGAGCCGTACACGCCGTAGGGGGCGGCGGTGATGACGGGGTTGGCGTTCATGGTGACACCGTTACCGTTGATGACGACGTCGGCGGTGGGCGTCGGGATGGGGCAGATGATGGGGATGGTCTTTTGGGCGCAGGGCTCGCAGTAGACGGTGGTAGGGGCGAAGCAAGGGGGGATGTCCTTGGTCACGTACTCCCACGGCTGGCCGGTGCAGACTTCGGTCACCGTGTAAGTGGCCATCCACGAGGTGGAGGGGTTGGCGGCGAGGGCCGTTGTCGTGTACACGGTGGTGTAGACATTGGTGGTTGCGGTGGCGGTGACCGTGACTGCCGGGTCGCAGGTGAAGAAGGCCGAGGTGGTGAGGGCTCCGGAACTGAGGGTTATTTATATCAGCAAGTCTGTTCTACGCGAGAGGTGATGGTCATATATCAAAAGGGTGTAATTGTTCTCACCTCATCTTGACTGTTGTTTAGTACTGACTTGGGGGTGGGAAAGTTGATTAGGCGTATATGGTTTGAGGGTTTGGAATTAGTTGTATGGGCGAGCGAGGGATTAGATTGAGCTGTACGGAACGAGCGACAGACAGGTTATCCTGGAATTACGGAACGAATGTGAGGGGACAGAGTCCAACGAATGACTGGGTGAAGCGGGAGTTCTTCTGGGGGCGGAAGACCGGGGGACGGGGGGGAGGAGAGAGAGAACTGGGGATCGAAAGGGCTAATCCAAGAGTTTCTTTCATCACGGCCGGCATCTTCGTCTTATAGGGAGAGACCAGCAACAGTCAGGACCACGGCAAAAGGACGAGCCAAGAACCAAGAAGGGGGTTAGCTGGAACACTCACTCGCCTGGCGGGTCCCTGGGTACGTTGTCCCTCCTCGACTGGCTGTACGGAGTATGAAAGCAAGCATCTTGGTGGGAATGCCGGGACATTGCGGTACATTCCTCAGTGCCCGGGTCCGGACGAAGACGGTCCCCTTGGTAGGAGCCGTTGACATCAGACATGTCCTTTCCATCCCGTGCGAGAGGCAAAGCATGCGGTAATATCCACCTTTGAGGGCCGGAGTGGATGCTAGAGGTGGTGCGGCTGATCCGAGAAGTCGGATTGAGGATAACCATCTTCCAATCCTTAGCAATCCTTAGTGTTGCTTGATTGCTAGAGGTGGGGATACTATCGCCCGCTTGGCAACGACGACAGACGAAAAGAGGCAAGGGCACATATTGTGTATGCCGGGATCAGAGACTCAGACGGGTGCCGGGGCGTTGACGCGCAGCAGCATTGCTCGGGGAGCTTGGCCAAGAATGCAGCCAGGGGCCAAGACATGTGGCATGGTTACACATCAACGGAAGGAAAAGTGTGGATGAGGAGGAGAGAGAGAGCAAGGAAGAGGCCTATGGGAACGCTTTCAACCTTCTATCGTCTTGGCTTCAAAAACCAAGACACGTGCAAATTCGAGACTAACAGTCTAGAACCCAAACCGCTACTTTCTTCGTGCCTGGATTTTTCTCCCTTGTACCTGAGGCTCTCACGGCTGTGTCTCGTCCCCTTGGGATTTCGATCGACCCTCACGGCAACAGCACTGGGAATGGAAGGAACCAAGAGGGACGCAGGCTCCCTTGCGGCAGGAACTCCTACACCAGAGGATCCACCTTTCTTCTCTTCATGGTTCGCTGAAGAGTATCTTAGGTAATGTATCTTACGGAGTGCAGACTGGACTGTGCTGACACTTTTGACTGCACCTTCCTTCCCTCTTCAGCCCCAAAATGACGAGAGGTATCGTTGGCATGCTCTCTGCCTTCCACCACTTTCATACAAAGTCTGAATCCAGCTAAGGCACGCAGGGAATGGCAATCATGGCATCAATCCAGTCTAGCCAATCGACATGGCGTCAACTTAGGTAGACAGGGGATGAGGCTCGGGGCATTCTTTCATCACTTGCCGGCGCCGTTCCTGGATACTCAACGTAGGAGCAAGGTTAGAGGGTCGGCACTTTAGATGCAGGAGAGTGTTCTTCCTCCTCCAAACCCTCATATCTTTTCCATTCGCAAACGGAATCCAGTAGCGAGCAATGAGCGGCTATCCGGGTTCCTGGCACCACAGGTCTCACCATTTCAATAATAGCGTCGGTTGTTCTCTCGACGAGCATAGCGAAACACACACACGCACACACACGAAGCGTGAGAAAGAATTTACTACCCATGCCTGTTTCGAGCATTTGGCATGTCCCCCATCAACAGCATCCCTCACCCACCGCCCGTGAAATGGGCCTAGGGAGAGACTTCCTATAATCCAGGGAATTTTAATCTGCAGAGCGATCCAACTCCGAAGAGAGGAAAAGGCAACGCGACACCGTGAGAAAAGACTGGGTGTAGGTCGTGGCAGCTCTGGGTTACTTTTTGATCTAAGGAAAAGAAAAAGAAGAAGAAAGAGAGAAAGAATTTTCGCAGCGAGCCGCCCTTTTGAAGCTGCTGGAATTTGGCACTAGACCGTTCTGGGGACCCGACCCATCGGTCCTACCGTGCAAGGCGTATGCTCATTAACTGCTTGTTGGCACTGTACAGTACTGCAGAGATTTCTGCATAATCCACAGTGTCCACTTGGATTGTGTGGGCCGCTGCTCTTCAACCTTCACCGTTCCGGTGTTACCATTACCACGTTGATCATGCATGCTCAAGAATAAGATTATCATTCAGTCCCGTCTAGTCTAACCAGCCGAGGAGTACCATCATACCAGAGAAATCAGGAGACTCCATTGCCACGCGGAACGACACTGAAAACATCATAAGCCAAGATTGTTGGACTCCATGGGCTCGACTCGCTCGAGCAGCCTGCCAGCCCTACATTACGAAGTGCTTTCCCCCCTTCCATGATCCCAAGCGCCTAAACACCCAAGTATGCATCTACCATTAGCCGGTTCCCATGTCTCTCTTTCTCTCTCGCCTCTCTCCTCTCTCTGTCTTTGTCTTTGTACTTTCTCTCTACCAGTTCTTGGTGACCGTCATGGTTCTTGATCCCGCTGCGAAATCCTTGGCGTAGTCAGTGCCGATATACCGGCCCTTGAACGCCCAGATGATGATGCTGGGCAACCTCCACGTTCCCATCTGGCCGGTAGCCCTGCTCCGTCCAATCGTAATGCCGGCCACGACCTTGGGGTCGACGACATACGGCGCCGGCCTCGGCGCGCCCGTGAAGTGAGCCTGAATACTCTTCACCACGTGCTGCACCTGCAAGTCCGCCAGCCGCCCGTACGCGCCCTCGAGGTTGCCGACGTCGCCCACCACAAAGATGTTGTCGTGGCCGACCGCGCGTAGGCTCTGGTCCTGCTTGACGTACCCGGGCGGGTCAAGCATGTTGGACGGCAAGAAGGCGGTGTTAGGGATGGCGCCGACGGTCGGCAGGTACGCGTCCGTCTGCAGCGTCGTCTTCTTGCCGCTCTTGTCCGTGAGCTCGAGCGTCTTTTGTCCGTTGGCCTCCGTCTTGACGCCCGTGACCTTGGTGTTGTGGATCGTCTTGACGTTGAGCTTCTGCAGCTCGTTGAGCGCCGCCTTGCGCACGCTGTCGGTGAAGGGGGGGCCGAGGGGCAAGTCGTCGTTGTAGATAAAGTAGACGTCCTTGCTGCGCTTCTGCGAGTACTCGAAGCCGATCTCGCCCACCGTCTCGGTACCCGTGACGCCACCGCCGGCGACGACGATGCTCTTGGCGTTGGAGAGCTGCTGGCGGATGTCGCCGAGCGCCTTCTTGGTCTCCTCCGTCGTGCCGACCTCCTTCCACGGCATGCTCTCCTTGGCGCGGGTGCCGGTCGCGATGACGACGGCGTCGTATGCGATTGACCTACGACTGCCGTCGTTGACCACTACGTCGACGGTGTTCTTGTCGTCGTTGAGCTGCTCGGCCTTGCCGATGATGACCTCGTAGCTTTCCTGGGGGTACTTTGCGAATGACGGCTCAATGGGGTGGAAGAGCACGTCGTCGCCAAACTGGCCTGGCACAACGCCGCGGACGGAGGCGAGGTTCCAGTAGCTGTGAAGCTTGGGTGTAAGTGGATGACGTCTTGCATAGTGTGTGTGTGCGCGTGCCACGCCACCAAGGATGGGAACTTACTGCTCGGAGTTGGGCGTCACCAAGATGACCTTCAGGTCTTTCACCAGCGGCACCGTATGCTTCAAGGCATGGTGTGCAATGGGCAGGCCGGCAAGGCCAGCACCAAGAACGACGAGGGTAGGCATTATCGCGTGGCTGTTGAGACTTGCGGTTTTTGGGAGTGCGCGGTAAGGTGGGGGAGTTGCGTTGCGAAGCTTCTATAGCTCCGGGAGCTTGGTAAAGGTAGCTTGAAGACAGCGGTAGGTCGTATTAAGGGTTTTTGGTCCCCCTTGCAGTTATGCCAGGATGTAGCTCTTCCGAGTTTCTGATTCGTTTCGAAACGTTGGGAAGATGTGTGAGTTGAGGTGGATAGGCAAACTAGACCCTCCAGTACCAAGCAGAAGAGCGTGGCGACGAGAATTGCTTTATACAAGATTGAACGGGGCGGAACTTTGGAGTGCGTCTACTTCTGATTAAAGTTATGTACGATAGGGAAATCGGATTTCACAATTGCGCCTTGGGTTTTTTGCGTTCAATGGGGCGCCAAGGTGTAGTACGTGGTGTAACTCGGAGACATTTCTGCTCCGTTTTGGTGTAGAGCACCCGAGCATCGACAGGGCCTCCTGGAAGTCCCAAGTCGTCAACCCCGGACGAACACCAAAGACGGAAGGAATCACACCTCACATAGAGATCTAGACAGGTATCTTCGGTGCTAGATTGATCGTTGTGGGCCTGTGACAAGGCGCATCGTACGGATTAGCCGCTCGGGGCGGATACAGTTATTAGTCAGGTAGACGACTACAATCTATTACCTGTAGACTAGGCGCGCGAAAGAAAAAAAAAAGAGGTATAAGTGACTCGTGCAATGATTTGAAAGGGGGGAAGACATCCGCATGCGCAAGGTTATCAATGTGTTTCTTTGTCTACGCCTAATTCTTGCAGTTGTTCCCTTGCAAATGCCTAATATTGAGCACACTCGCAAGGGAAAGCTGTGTTTGAGAGTGCGAGGGAGCGCGCGGTGCGGAGCGGACTTTTTTGCAGGCACTGAGACATTGAAGAGCAGGCGCTGGCATGACTAATAACCCATACGGGGGCAGGTCGTGACGACCCTCTCGGGAAGGAAGGGCGTGACGACATCACATGATCATACATGTGACACGGAGCTGATCAGTACCCCGGGCCCGTGCGGAGGAAGGACCCCTAGCCAGGATTTCGGGGACTGGACCCAAATCCCTCCGGACCGGCCAAGTTCTTATCCCGATCTGGCTGTGTTCTTGTCCCGACCCGGCCACGCTGTCCCTCCGACTTCGATCTTGACAGTCCCGGTGCGCTAAGTCGTGGCACTCAGTTGGCTCTCACCACTGTTATTGCCAGCAATATCGGCTCATCATTTGCGCTGTCATGATAGCGTTTCGGTGGGAGATGCAAGTTCAATCGTGGGCCATTCTGGCTCAATGATCCACAGGTAGGGATGTGCTGCTGGCGAGCGAGCTATTACCAGGATGTTTGTCCGGAGTAATGGGGTATCAAACATCAATAACACGAGCTAATCACAACTACAAAGTGAACGGAACGCAACGTGGCCGCGTCTTAGCTGTTGTATTGGCATGCTGCTCTACCCTATATACGAATGGCATCCCTCGACAAATAGCCTACAGCGGCAGCCAGGATAAGAATGAAAAACATCTTCTGGCCTTTTCAGCAGGTGTAACCAAAACTCCCCAAACTGGGCCAATCCCTGTGCCCGTAACGACCTATGAAGGTTACATGAAGATGAACAGGGAACCGACGAGGCAGAGACCCATGGTCATGATGCCGAGACTGGGAGCGAGACTGAGACCGCTGGCGCGGGCAGGGTTTGACGGCTGAGCACCACCAACGGGAGGCGCGCTGGCACCGGGCATACCGGGCATGGGCATCGTCATACCAGGAGCCATGCTCATGCCGGGCATGTTGGGCATACCGGGCATTCCACCACCACCGGGGGTAGTCGGGGTTCCAGCAGGAGGTGCAGGGGCGGGCATCGGCATCGGGTTAGGCTGCATGCCGCCTCCACCACCGGTGCTGTTACCGCGGCCACCTCCACCACCAGTTCCTTGACCAGCACCAACGGGTCCGGCGTTCGTAACGCGGAAGAAGTTGCCAGCGACGACCTTGTCCGAAAGACCGGCCGCCATGAGGCCGTTCATGACGTTGAAGTCGCGACGGCTCTGCGCCGCGCCGGAGAGGGCCATCAGGCCTTGCTGCGTAATCATCGTGTGGTCGACCGCGACAAAGGTGTATCGATGGCTGAGGGGCTCTCTCGCGGGCGGGTTGGGACCAATGTACGGCGCCAGAGCGGCTGCGTTCATCTTGTTCTGCATGAGGAACACCTTCTTGGGCCCAGCGGTCGTGTTGAGCGTCGTCGGGGTATCGGCAGACATGAGGCCGGTCTGCATCCAGTGGAGGAGAGTTCCGGTCTTGGGAGGTTGGTTGGTCGGGACGTCGATATCCACCATTATCACCGCATACTGGCCCTTAAGCTGCTGCTCGGTCGCAATTGTTGGTTGCGTCTGACTAGCTATTGGGTGTTTGTTAGATTGACCTCGCTTTTTGGTCTCGACAGTGTGAAAACTTACAATCCCTAGGCAAGTTCACGCCATCCAGTGCCGAGATGCCTCCGTAAGAAACAATTAGGGGAGTGTTTGACTGGGGCATAAAGCCCATGGGCGTAGCGGCCGACGTCAACGTCGCCGCCGCCAGGACGGCAATAGCCTTGGACAACATTATTAAGAAATATCTCGAAGGAGCGGATAGTAAAGTCGCTACTGTGTTTAGAATCGAAAGAAAGAAAGGAATGAATAAGAACAACACAGCCAAACGGAAATACCTGGCTCATCCACAACGTCGTTTAACAGGAAAGAAAAAGAGTTTAAACTGCGCTTTAGTTGCCTTTGAGCGACCTGCCCAGACATTATCTAGGGCGCCTACTCTTTTCGCCTCAAGTAAACCTTGGGGGTCATCCGTGGGTGCGGAAACATTGTCGATCCAGGATGAAACGCAGTCTTAGCACTGTTGTTACAAGACGCAACTGCCTGCTGCATGAAGCATTGGCCCGCGGCCACACTTCCTGGGGCTCGGGAGATGCGCGTCGATGGACGGGGAGAGCCTGTACCTGGATTATGCAGGGTTGCCCTTATTTGAACTTAACAGGAGCAAGCTGCGACTGCATGTTGCGACATCGCGCCCTGCCGGAGGATCGCGAGAACTCCACCCTCTTTCCGCCTTGAGTGTTTGCTTGAAGTAGCGATACACCATGCCGAGATCTCCAGCATTATCCCGCTGTTTCCTTCCGTGCCGCTATATCCTCCCAAGCGACCCCGGAAAGGACCCTTTAAACCTGTCTATGACTACCTTGGCAGAGTCTGTGAAAATAAAGGTTGGCGATCATGTTAGCCGGCTAAGAGTAGTCAGCTAAGAGATGGGATGCTTATGCGACGTCGGCATAGTTTCTGGACTCAACCCGAGGTCTGTGTGTTGGAGACGCGCCTTTACTGTCTTCTCCTGGCGACTGGTCATTGCGGTGAAAGCCAATCCCATTGTGTTGAGTTGGGCTCCGGCTCTTTCCCGTGTTAATAGTTGATTGTAAGCCAATGGCAAAAATTCCCGTGACTTGCGAAACCAAGAACAATGAAAAATGATTTATCCTGCCACGGCGCTCCCAAAGAAATGGAAAAACGGATGCAGCCGGCCTCACTTCTGGGAATCCATGTTGACTTTGTGGCTGGCACAACCCCGCCACTGAGAGTAGGTACTGACTGCAGGAGACCATGAAACATCGGCCTTTTGTTTCCGATACTCGGCATCCGGAGTCTACCAGCGTCTTCGCCAATGGCCGCCCGGAACGTATAAAACCCAAAAAGGACGCCATCTGAACTTGTCCACGAGGCCACAGGCTGCAGAGAATAGATTGATGGTGGTTATGTGCGCAAAGCCCGCATTACTGCTCATCAGTTGTCCGGCTTATCGCGCAACAGACTTGGTTCGACGAGGGAATTTAGAGGGGAAAGTGAATCCCAAATGGCTGGGAATGACCCCAATCCGGGTGGGATTGAGGCTCAAGCTTGTCTCATTTTACTAATGATCTTTCCAGCAGCAAAATCGGCGTCAATGAGTCGTCACGGCATGATTTGCCCGCCGAATGCGCCTCAGAGCCAAACCCATGCTGCATTCATATAATCAGCACTGGAGTGCTGTGTGACCGCCAAGGTTCTATGTGGGATGCCAACATCGTCAACTTGCTTTGAGTGGTGATAGGAATGGTGTTTGACCGTGGTCTATTGGCTTCAGCTGATCGACTGCGCAACACCAACCATATGATTTTGCGGGAGTGATCATCCGTCGTCGTCTTCTCGTGAACACCCTTCTGCCACCTGGGATGAGCATGATGTGATTAATCGCCGCAAAAGTGTTTGTCTGCTCCAGGAGATCGACAGTGTACACAACTAGATGGGGATTCCCGGCCTGAGCACTAATGCATTCGTATACTTTGGCTTTCTGCGGGTGAAGAGGCTATGCTATCCAACTGGTTGGAGGGCATGATAGCCATGGCTGGACCACGATAACCCTCTGATTCCCTCAATTGGGAGCAGGGTCTGGGATGATTGATATACAGAACGAGACCTAGGCCTATTCGATGGTTTGCGGAGCCAAAGAGTCTTTTCTGTGTATGGTTGTCCGACTCAGAACACTCCGGCAGCGGGGTTGGTGGAGGATCGACAGCAGATCAATTTGGGCTGTCGAGTGTTGTAAGGCGAGTCAGGGGTCCTGAAGACAAGATCAGACGAGAGTTATCGTGGCATACGTCGGTGGGTTCAACGGTCGTCATCCTCCTTCCCGTCTGCGTATTTGTTAGACAGGCTATATTGCAATCTATCGCTACTGCTCAGGCCTTTGACCAGGAACGCAAGCGTCTGAACAATACTTCTCGGGCGGTCGATGCCGTGCCTGCTCCTTCAAAAGTCCAGTTAGCATCTCAAGATCGTAATCTCATGTAGACAGACTTCTCAAATACCGTGTCAGATCCGATGGTGTTGGTTTCATCTGAATCATGTGCCCGTCGTGGTTGTACGAGAGAGGAGGAAAAGGTAGCCGTGTGTCACTCGGAGGGGTAGATTTGAACACAGCGACAAATGCATACCTATCTGCCTCGCTTTCGCGGTTCGAATTGAGTGAGGAGGTTAAGAATCTTACTTCAGGCAGGTTGTGGGCATGTTGGTACCTACGTCAGCAGGGGAGCCTTTCGGCCGGGATGAAGCTATCGCATATTGAACTTACCGTGTCTGCAGGATGTGGCTGGAGGAAGAATTGCGCGAAGCCCATCGACTTCTCTGAAGTGGAAGCAAGCGGGTAGAAGGGTCGTTCACGTATCGTATAGAAGGACGCGCCTTTGGGACAAGTCATGGGCATTCACATCTGGTAGGTGCGGTCCGGTACCCCTTTCATGCTGCTCTCCTGGGTACGGCAGGGACGGTCGTCGGCGTGTCCAATCAACCGACACGTGTAAGGTAGATTACTCTGCATTGGCGATTTTGGTCGTCAACGTCACTCTGGACACTGTAAAGTTCACTGGATCATATCCAAGTGCCAGGATTGGAGAAATTTATTCAGCAAGACACCGTATCATTAAGGGAGAGTAGTTTTGTTACGTCCAAGTCGTTGGCTTTTTCGAAACGGGATGATGACATGCTGCGGGAGGTAAAGGATTGTGATCGGTCCGTGTAAGATAGGCTAATACTTGTCCCATTTCGCTACCGAAGGCTTATGAACACCACGTGCTGAGCTTTTCGAGGACGAACTGATTCAGTGATATATCTGGGACTCTATCAATTTACATTAGTTCCAGTCGGCATTCTCAGGAAAGGAGCACGTAGCCCTGGTTGTTTCTCAAGAATGGCATCATTGCAACCTTGCAATGGTCCACGTTTGAATAGCCCCTGGCTGATCTGAATATTACTGTATCATGTCGGAGTAGGAATCTCGTACTTGGATGCCTCGGAACTTCCTTCCCCTTTCAGATTTGTGATTTGGTAGTCATCATCTCGACTTTGCTCGGGTCGTACGTCTACTTACACGAGAATACAAGGACAGTTCTCCCTGTGGCTTGTTCCTTTTACTCGAGAAATGTTTCACACGATGGCAGGCCGTGACAAACTAAACGCTTCTTTTGCGCTTCGGGGGCAAGAACCATCAAATCAACCTTATGACTGAACAAAATCACGCTCGAGATGTACTCCATTGGCCCACACATCAAACCGAAATCTCTCGCAACAAGAATTCAACCGTCAGTGTATGATGATAGTGGCGATTCCCAGGACGATCCACCAGTTCTCCCGCCACGCTCGCGTGTCTCTCAAATGAGGGATAGGCAACCGTACCACAAAGGCTTTGTCGAAATGCCGTTGAGGTTGACAATCCATTGTGAGTTGGAGTCCACGGATAAGAGCGCCCTAATTCTCATCTCACAAGGGATTACACTCTAGATGGCTGAAGAGACTGCTTCAAGGAATCATATGGTAGGATTGTGAGGTTTAACCCGTGGCGAGAATCACCAGTCACTGTGATCACTCCCGCGCTGGGTGGCACCCACTTTCATGATCAAATACAACTGGAGCTGGTGGCCAGAATGACGGCACAGGCGATCTTTGCAGTAGGTAAACCATGAGGTCCTCTGGGTTACACTTACACCAGCGCTGATTCACTGACAGGCACGGCGTTACACGTACCTCTGGTAGGATTCGAGAAACCTTAGGCAATCAACATGGAGCACTCCCTCATCACAACCTTCTCTTCCAGGCTGGATTCCCCCCAAGATTTGGCCCGAATCGGCGTGATGGTGACGTACTGTAGGATTGTAGCAAGGGAAAAGACTGAAGACTAAGAAGTCCCCAATGATGGTCTGGTACAGCAGAAAGGCGGGCAAACCGCCACAGAACCCTATTGCTGCGAAATACACACATCGACCACGGAACTCTACGCTGACCTTGGCCATGTCTCGATCTCGATGTTCAGTATTGAGATGCGAAAGACGCTCGATGCTCGATGCCTGCTCAAGCTCTATCGGAGACCCATAGATGAGGAACGAGCTCCCATATCGCAGAGAGGGTCGCGCCTGAGAAGTCAGAACGGCCGTCAGGATGACGGAGGGGATCGCCGGAGAGCTCAGCGAGAGCCAATCATTACCGGGACGGTTAGCGGCGAGGATCTCGTTGGGCGACAAGTTCAAATCCCTCGGGCCCCAGTAAATTCGGACGCAGAGGTGCCGCAGAGTGGCGGGGAAAAGCACCAGGACGGTCAGAGAGGTTTCGGGGATCGAAGGGGGCAGCAGGAAAAGAGGACTCGGCGTGCTGCTATCTTCTCTCGTCTCTAGTAGGTGGTTTGGTAATGCTCGAGCCTAGGAGGACTATCATCGCTAAGTTTGAGGATGCGTAGACGTTGATACTCTCACATGAATCGGGGAATCGAATTCGGGGCTCGTCATTGTGGATGAAGTGTCGGCCGATAATTCTCTCTGGGCGTAGGGGAGACAATAGATGTCCGGCTGGAAAGCATCTGTATAGGTAGTATAACATCACTCATGACGTTTCAGAGGATGTTTCCCCAGACCTCCACGACCCCTCGGCCCCCATCAAAGGCCCATCGCAGGCGAGATCGATGTCATTATGCGGGCCATTTGATCATACTGCGTGGTCCAGCCGTTGGGACGGCTCCTACCGTGAGTTGAGGACGCAGGGGCGAAGGTAACCCTCCTAGCTAGTACGTATTTACCAGCTGTGATTCAGGGGTCGTCGCTGAGTACGGTATGCTGTCACAGACGACCATCCGCCCAAAGTAGGAGGATTGAGATCTGATTGTGTGTGCCAGCTCTTCGGGCATAGCGGCCGATAGAGATGAGGTGAGGTGAGAGGCATGGCGTCATCACGTGTGATGGCATACCTTTGACGGTCGCGCAAAGAAACAGTTCGTTCATATCACTTTGAGGTATGTGAGCTCTCCTTCTTTCTTGTGGTCCGGGTCAGACAGAGTCAGGGTCTGGAACCTTGGCGCGGGCCTGAGTCTCCATTCGAGGCTGAGGGGAGCTCATGGAGAGTGTGGATAGTAATGGTATGATGCAGGTGGCGGGAACTGCTTCATGGGTGCTCCTTTAGTATAGACGGGAGGCTTTTTTTTCTCATTGTCAGCCGTCGTAAGGGTCGCACGATGATGAGAGAAGCTGTGGCAAGGGGTGAAGCGAAGGCAAAAAATAAAATAAAATAATTCTAGCTCTAATAGCAGCTAGGTGTGCATGACAGACAATGCAGCAATGCTCGAACGAAGCGAGACGGGAGCCGCATTCTAGCTAGCAAACTTGCAAATCTTTGAAGATCTGAGAGAGAAGAGGGTTTCTTTCCGCCTCATGGAACTCGGTCTAAGCGGGCTGTCGACGTAAAGAGACGTAGAAAGACGTAAGTTGTGGTGCCGTCTGTGGTGCTATGAGGTCGTCGCGCGTATCATTCCTTCCTGTGACGGAATGGACCAGCGTTTGAGCCTTTGGGTGGGAAAAGGGGGGCGTGTTTGTGGTGTGTGTGTGACGGAGCAGCTTGTCAAAACGTTACCAGGGAGGAAGGGGGAAATGGAAGAAAAACGCTGGCTCCAACGTTTTGATTGGTTGACTGGACTGAATGCAGGCAGGGGGGGATCCGACCGTCGGACCAGGGGGTGAGAGAGCAGCCATTGACATCATAGGGCGCCGGGTTAGTGGCGCAGCGTGACTTCACACGAGACTTGATTGGCAAGACCTGACGACACACCAACCCCCAAAGAGCTCCAACGACGTAAACTGAGGCAAGGCCGAACGAACTGAGAGGATGGAAAAGCTACCTTCCGTCAGCCTTGACGTCTGTGTGTCCCATCCAGCCAGCCCCAAAGTCTGAATTTCTATCGTCTGCCTACGGATACACTCCCACTATTCGTACAAGCTACGGCCGGTTCGAGGTCTGTCCGTCGCTACGGATACGTCCTGGCCACATGCATCGATCCATGGTCCATCCCCATGAGAGCATCCATCCCTCTCGCGACCCCCCCCGGCCGTCTATCTTACGTTACGGTTTTACTGCGTATCGCGTATCTTCCGTCACAGCTGCCTCGCTACGGTCGAGGGAGGCAATCCATGCTCCAATGAGGTTCTAGGCCATCACACTACGTGACTACCTACCAAACACGCAAACCCGCCGTTTCGGTTGCTTTCCTTTAGCGACAAAGTGAGTTTTCTTTCTTGTCAGATCTCCCCGGCCTTTCAACCCCAGCGTGTATCGGAGCTTTAGTCCATGGACCCCTGACGCCCTGGTAATTCTCTCACCTGAAGAGATATGTCACCAATTTCTCGGTGAGGGTCAGATTAAGACCGAATGCAGTCTACGGTGCAATGAACCTTATCTGCTCCTCCGTGACCCGGCTCCGTGATGTCGGGGGCCGAAATTCGTTCAGAGCTTCCTTGTTGCTGGTCTTGGCACCTTGCTGGTTCACTGTTCAACTCTGAATAGCTTCGGCATGGGCTAGATCCGGTGGACCAGGTCAAGTGTGGGAGGGCGTGATGGGGCACGCCGCACGTCAAGATGCCCCTGACATGGGAATCATGGGAATCAACGCAAAGGCCTCTGCTGAATAGGGTTGCCACTCGCGGGGGGCAAAAGGGCAATTCTCATCCTCATCATTTCTTGGAGGAGGGGGGATGGGAAATTGAGGCCCAAGAGTGCCGAAGTCTAGTCTCGCCGCCATGGCAAATTCCTCAAATTCCCATGCCGACGGAGGATGGTGGGCATGAGGGCATCATGGAAATTTCCTACAGGTACGTTCCTGGCCTTTGGGCAAGCATGGTCACGATCTGGACATTGTCCCCACTGCCATGAAGATCAAACCAATGACAGCCCTTAGAGATGGTGGAGACCCGAGAGGTAGCAGTTCCAAAAAGTTGCTGAATGCCTTCAAATTTGGCGGCGAGCCTTCCAGGCTCAGGTTTGGGATCCGTGCTTTCTGCCTTGACGGCGTGGTGTCCGCGCCCCGGCACAGACCAGGGACGCCAAGTTGTAGCTGTTGTGGGTGAAGGTGAACCTGCCATGCCTGTCCGAAAGGTTGAGTACGACGGCGGACGACCAGGGCAAAAAGGAAGGAAGGTGGGAACACTGGACGGACCCACTGGCAGCAAAGTCCACACCCGGGGTCCGGCCGACGTAGACGCTTCGGCCAATGACGTCTGCTCCACCCGCCGATCTTTGACGACAAGTCTTGCTTGGCTACTGCTTGGCCGCGCCGTTGCCAACCTTCCGCACTTTCCCTTACACCACATTCTTCCTACTCTAAACAAGACAAGACTAACTGCCACCCTTTTCTTTCCTGTCATTGACCTATTGACTAGGGCAGCTCTGATCAAGTGCCAGTAGTGTAGCGCCTGTCTTTAATGTGAGCACGCTTCTTTTTGGCTGGCTTGTGACCCCCCGGCCTGGACCATCATCGTTGTTCGTTCGCGCAAGCTGCTTGCTTGCGGATGGCGACCTTAGCGTGAGCTTGCTTACTCCCCCTGGACCTGGATGGGAAAGACGTACCATGCAGCTGTGGCAGCACAATCGTACAACGAACATGCCGACCCTCCATCAGAGTTGGGGGAGGTTTCAAGCTTTCGATAATGCAGTCCTCCTGTAAGGTCATAGGGTGGCCAAAAATCAAGGGTCCAACACACCTTTTGAGCCTTTGGCGTCGGGATGGGCACGATGTTCGAGACAATCCTATTCGCTTGCAGTCTGGCCATGTCTATCTCGACGTATTGATGGGACATGGATCAGAAACCCCTCAAGCCTCTTTTTCTCAGGGTCTCCCGTCCAGCTCCACGCCCCGTCCGCCGGTCCAGAACCTCCAAGGGTAGGAAAGCGAAATGGAGAGGGGGACTGATCGTCGCTGTCTTTGTCCGAGATTCGGGGGGCAGGTATTTTGACATGTCGATAGCTAGGTACTCCAAAGAAGTGCGAGAGACCGAGAGAGAGGAACAAGCTGTGCTCTGTATGCGTGAGAGTGTGTGGCCAGTAGGTACCGGTAGACATGCCCGGTGACTTTCGGTGTGGACAACTGATCAGCAGGGTCTTTCCGTTCTCGACCGCCTCCCGCATCCGCAAACCACCGCTACCACCTCTTTTGTGCCCTGCAGTGTATCACCGTACCGCTTACTGCATCATCAGCCCTGTCCGTGGCAATAAACCCAGCAGTGGGCGAGGTCTGCTTGATTGGCCCCTTGCGCCTCGACCCCCGGCCCAGTTACGCCATATCGTGCAGACCTCACCCGGGGGTACAGCAGAACGCTAAGACGCCGTCAATCACTGCCGATCCCTAGCGGATTGAGTGTAGGCGGAATACCTATGCAACAGCTCCTCTTTGCTGAGTGGGAGGGATGAGGGGGTGAGGAGAAAGGAACGGTGCCTGCTTTTCTCTCACTCTCTGTGCGTGGGCAAGTTGCTCTGTTTTGCTCTGCTCAATCTCGTCTCTCCCACACTCAGACCCCTCCCCTCGACCTCGAGAGAAAGGGAGGGGGGGTGTACCTTAGCGTAGGTCCCATAGCTTGCAACACCCGCTAGTGACGGAGGACCCTGTGTTTTGCCTGATGGACGGCTTGCTCACCACCACCACCACCACCACCACACACACGACCCCGTCCTGCCCAACTTTCCCCTACGTCTGTGTTCACCTCTTCTCCACGACAAGCCTTGCAGCGACTCTTTTCGCCCCTCTTATTTTCTTTTATAAACCCAAGACCATTCCTGCAATCCACCGTTTCTTAAAATCCCGTTTCATCAGCATCCAACTACAATAACAACAACCTCACACCATTCTCAAAACATCTACCAAGCTTTCATACACATCTACTCACCCTTCATCACCTCACAATATTAAAGCAACTTTCTACATCATCATCACTCTCCAACAAACACCTTAAGCCTCTCTTCAGCGGCTTACTACCAAACAACACCACATAGTCTATTCAAACCGCCTCTATGAGCCCTTCCACCATGCCGGCTCGCCAGGACGCCTACTCCGTCTCCATCCCTATCTCTCCTCCTCCTCCATCGGATCTCTCCACCTACATGCGCTCGATGCACCAACACACTAAGCGCCAGATGGAGGCTGCCAACCGCTCCTCAAGCAGAAGATCCGGTGGCCGCACGAGTTACCCTCACATGAACGGTCACCACTCTTCATCGAGCCACGATTCATCGTACTAAATTATAATCGACAACACGTTAATGGCGACCTTACTCAATGACCCTTCTTCACGGGTCTTTGGTACATCAACCTGATCATAAGATTGGGCTGTGAACCACTTCATTTTCAGCGACTGCGACAGCAGAGAACAGAATCTATTCGATCTAGTGAAATACTAGCACGACGGGATCAGAATTACGGCAACATTAGCATTTGGCGCGAGAGAGCTTGTTTTTACAATGGCGGGTTTTGTTT